ATGAGCCGGGGAGGGGCAGAGAGAGGGAAACAGAATCCCAAGCAGGCTCCAGGCTGTGAGCTGTCAGCACAGAGCCCGACATGGGGCTCGAACCCATGAACTGGGAGATTGTGACCTGAGCTGAAGTCAGTTCCTTAACAACTGAGCCACCCAGACGCCAGTAAAATGCCATATGTATTAAACACACACGCACGCAGGCATGTGTACCTGCGCGCGCGCGCGCACACACACACAATAGAACTCTGTTGCCCAATGCCACTAACAACAAAGTTTCACTTCAGTGTTGCATTATTAAAAAGGGTGTTTTTGTTTCATTTTGTTTTATTTTCGTTTTCCAGCACCCTCAATGTGTCTGAATATTCCTTGATTTTCACAGTTACTCTCGTCCTGGCATTTTTGAACATTTTAGGCTCTGTGCTGCTAACAGGCTTTGTGGTGCCTTTGTGTCTGTGTGTCAGCCCCTCCTCCTTCCGCAGCAAATTGTCTTCGGCCTGGTTCGTGTCCTGCAGAGTCTCACAATTTTTTATCATTACTCAGTGTCTTTTTTATGAAAAAAGATCATTTGAATCCGAGTATCACGTTGGTTTTTTATTCTGTGCTGCTAAAGCCATTTTCTGTGAAGTAAGATATGTGTTCAGACAGAGCTCTGTGTAACCCACCTGTCCCCAACAGCTCTTTGGAGTCCGGTGCCTTTGTTTTGTGTGCGGCATCACACTAAGGAAAGCCTACTTAAGAGGTGAAATTTCCATCTTTCTGTCATTTTAGGGAGCTACAGTAGAAATTGCAATTTTATACACACGCCTTTGGCCCCACGCCCAAAGAGACTGAGATTTAAAGTCGCTTCTTGACATGTTGCAAACCAGTGTCTCTGGGGTCCCCCAGTTGCACTGTCATTTGGTTACTGGACGCTGGGGTTGCTGACCAGAGGAAGTCTCTAGGCCCTAGTGAATCTCCGGTTCTTAGGAGAGAACAGGATATGTAGGCACAAAACAAGTGGACAGCGTTAAATAATTCTTAATGGAATTTATAATCTGCTTACATTGCATCAGCATTTTTAGGTACAGTGAAACCTGCTTGAAATCCCTCCTTGGCCTTGTAGAAGAATTAGGTTTGGTGGAAAACCTTTGAAATTGTTCATCTTGTCAAGAAACTTCATTATACATGGTGAAAACACTTGTTTTGATGAAGATTCATGTTTATTTGATGTCAGTTTTTGAGAGAAAACCCTAGGTATCGGAGTCCCTTGCAATGTTGGCTTTTGTAAGTTTTCTACTATGTTTTTGTACACGTCATTAATCCTCTTGGTGGGTGACGCCCTGAGTGACTAAGGCACGTAGGTACCTTGTTCAGAAAGTTGCAGCGTGCGGTGAGTGCCTCGCCTCCCACACGGCAGACAGGTGTGTGTGCCAAACGAGCTGATTATTTGCGGTAGGAGGTTGTTGGCTTGGGTGGAGAAGCCTTGGCAGCTGCACTGAAGGCCTGTACAACTCGGTGAAACCATTCGGTCCTGTTGGAATTGAGCACCCGTGCTGTGCCTGCCCCCCTGGGGTCCTACAGAAACCGCTCGGAGGGGGGCTCGCTCGGAGCGGGGGCTCAGCAGCACCACCTACACACAGATCCCAGAGCTGGGGAGGGGGAGCTGGCGGCGGACGGAGTGCCTTGGTAAGCAGGGCCCCTGGTGGCGGGGGCGCCTGCAGGGGTGGGAGGGTAGATGGGAAAGGGTTTCCAGAGGTAATGATAGGAGGGCAGAGAGCCAGGTAACGCCCCTCCCGGCTCTCCCTCCATTGTGTACTGTCTGTGGCTGCCTTCTTCCTGATGGTTGGTCTGAACTTTACGTTTTCTTCTGACGCAGAAAAAAACGAGGCTGAAAACATAGAGGAAAACGAGGAGCCTTTCGTCGCCCCCGTGGGGTTGAATGTGCCGCCTGACGTGGAGCTGGTATGTTTTCCACTTCACAGCACCGTCCATCGTGATCCCTGTGAGTCAGGAGGCACTGCTTGTGCGAGACCCCACTCGTGGTCATGACGGCTAGGTTTTAAGGCCTTCAAACTATTTGTGAGTTAATGGAGGAAGCCCCCCCCCCCCCGCCCCATTTTCCTCTAAAGAGAGAGGGAGGAATCCCAGCAGAATGGCTAGACCAGCGCATCAGGGGCTTGAGGAACTGGGTCAGAGGCCATGGGGTTGAGTGGCGCGGTTGGCGGTGAGTAGGCTGTTAGCCACATTCAGACATAAAAACAGTCTCGCTCAAGGCGGCCCGGCTTTCAGTGAAGGTGCCTGGTCCCGGGTTTTGCTGGGGTGGCTTTTGTGGGCCCTTGAGTTGTAGGCCTTTACCTTAGGTGTCCTGGGTGCTCTTGCAGCCAGGCCTCCTGTCCCCTGTGATCAGGGCCCTGGGGCACCTCCGGGCTGCCCTGGCGCTCTGCAGCTAGAGCCGGCGGAGTGGAGTCTGATTCACGCTCGCCTCACACAGCAGCTTCAGCTCGAGCCTGTCCAGTTCGGGCTGAGTTGTAACGGGTGTCACTGAGGGTCGGTCGCCTGCGGTCCTGGCGTGCTCCGGCTGCTTGATCTGCCGTATCGTGAGGCCGAGGACCCTGAGCCATACCTCCTGTTCCCGTCCCCCTCTCACAGGCGAGGGAGAGGGAAGGACGTGGCCGTGCACATGGCAGGCAGGGACTCACACCCCCAGTCCCCGTGCTCGATGGGATTTTTGTGTGTTCAGTAGGGACGTTGGGAGTATTTCTGCTGTGTGTGCGTGCTCGGGAGGGATATTGGCGCTCAGTGTGGCTTTTCTGTGACGTCTTCCTACTGGGTCACTAGGGCCGCGGATGCAGGTGTTCTGGATTCTTGCTCGTGCCCTGTGTTCTTCTGAACCTCCGGGTGGACAGCGGGCGCTGAAGCTGCCCGTGAGGGTCTCATCCTCTCCACACTCGGCCTGTGTTTGCTGCCCTGGTCGCTCGTTTCCGGGCGATGACGGCCCGGGACACAGAGCAGCCCTGCCCCCACCCCATCCGTCCTCTGTGTGCGCTCACCCTGCCTTTTGGTGCCTTCTTTCACGTACGAGCCACGTGCTTTTGGGTTTTGCTGAATGCGGTTGCTACTTATGTCTGCCTCCCCGTTTCCAGCACTTACCAGTTTGTTGTAGCTAAAGCTGGAAATGTCCTCTGAACATCTGATATCCTAGGACTTGTATCGATACGTTTTCTGTGTGTTGTTAGGGGTTGTGTTCTTGTTCTGGAACGTGCTCTTTGTTCTACACGAGAGACCCATTAAAAGTGGGTTGCTCCCTTACCTGTATTTAATGCTAAAAGCTTTTATTTAAGGTCGACTGTGTGGGATTTTATTTATTTTTACGTGAAAGATTATTTTTAAACTTTCATGCAGATACAAACACAGAAGCGTGATAGATTTTACCGCGTTGTTCACTTCCTATTAAAATACGTAACGGCTGCATATCCTGGGCCAGCCTAAGCTTCACTGAGCTGTTGAATGGTCTGCTGGAGCTAAGAATAGTCGCTGCCCGCTGGAGAGCAGATAGTCATTTGCTGTGTTCCCCTTAAAGAGTCCTTGTGATACTGTTACGGCGCAGCCCCTGGAGCGGGAGATGGTTGGATTGTGTGGAAGCCGTTGAGTGCCCGTCGGGGCGCTGGAGGCAGCGCTGTCTTCCTTTGTGCTGGTGTCGCTCTTGGGAGCACTTGCGATTTGGGGGCAGTGGCTCGTACACGCTTCACACCGTGATGTCCCCATTAGCGGGCGAGCGGAGCAGACAGAGGTGCCTGCGTCGGGGATTAATGCCAGGATCGCCGGCTCATACGCAGAGAGGGGATTGCTGTCTCCGTGGACGGGGGTCGCCCTCGCTCGGTAAAGAAAGCGGGCACCCTGGGGGATTCTTGACGTTTAAACCAGGCTTTTGGATTAGAGCCTAATGAGTCCAGGCTCCACGGGGTTTGCGTGAAGAGTGAGGAGTAGTTAGAAGGCACGGCGCTCCGGGAGGTGCATGCTGGCCTTTGCTCCAGATGGGCCGCCGCGGGTGCTGGCCACCGGTTCTGTCCTCGGTCAAAGCCCGGCAGCCGTCCTGGCTCCACCTCCTGCTGGGCCTCTAGACCGCCGCCCCCGAGTGACCCCACAGCGTTGTGTTCGCTTCTCCCGGTGGTTGGGCATGTTTTCTCGGGTCGCAGGGGAAGCAAAGACCTGTTTCTCCCCGAGTGTGTAGCCTGGCATCACTTGTCCCAGCTTGTGCTTTCGGCCCCGTGTCCCCTTCTCAGGGACCTGCCTGCCCGTCTTGGTCACCTCCCGAGTCCTGCCCACACCCGGAGCACCACCGGGAGGGCGGAGGGAGTGTCCCCCAGCCCCCAGGACGCTGCGGTGCACAGGGTCACGTGTCACTGCGGTCAGCCGCGGGGGCTGGCGGTGCTGCCCCGTGGGCCCCGGGAGACGCGCTCGTTGGGGCACACTTGGTAAACCAGAGGACGAGCAGGGAAGGATTCGGGGTGCGATTGCCGTCACGTGCGCGTTTGCATCTCTGGGTTAGGGATAGCGCGTGCTTACCGTTCACTGGCTGCGTGCCGCGTACCCGGTGCTTTGCTCGTGTTCTCGCTCCGTCATCGTGGTCCCAGTAGCTCTGAGGCAGGGGCGGCTGTCAGCCCGTTTGCACGGGAGAGACGTTGAGGTTTAGAGTGTGAGAGAGTAACTCCGAGCCGCTGAGTCCGGCTGGATCGATGGTTCGCATTAGACTGTTATTTTCATCCTAATTCAGGGCCTTTGTCGCCACGGGATGGGAGTGGGAGCAAAAAGCAATGTGATTTATTTCTGCATTCCCGAAGAGTTCTTGCCTTTTTCTTGGGACTGGCAGGGACTTTCCGCGCCGCTGAGCACATCCGATGTGTGCCGTGCACGTGTGCTGCTGATGCCTCTCGCAGAATGAACGTATTTATGAAGTCGTACGTGTCACTATATTCCATTGCGACGTCAGCATTTTGAATCTTGTTTTTGGAAGTCCCTTCCCAACCCTAAGATTTTAAAAATATTTTGCTATGTTTGCTACTGTTGTGTCTAACGTTTTGTTTTTACAATTGAAATGTCATCCGATGTGATGTGTATTTCGGGGTGTGAGTGAAGTGGGTATTTCATTTTTCCTCCCCTGATCGTACGGGAGGAGGGGGCCAGCCTAGCTGCTCCCGGGGGCCCTCACCTCTGTTCCCTGAGGTCCCGGCCCCGCACCGCAGCAGCACTTTCCAAAGCTCTTAGCGAACCTTACGCTGACGTGGGCTTTCGCACCACACGTACGATTCCCCCACTGCCCAGTGTCTGCCCGCAGGTGTTAGAGCCGCGTCTGTGTCCGTGTGATTCAGGAGGAGTGGGGACGTGTCAGCCCACCTTCTTGGGCCCAGTCCCTTCCTTCAACCAAAGGTTTCCCCCTTTAAATAGGACAAGCATTTCTCCCCTTATCAGTCTTTATGACACACGCGTTTATATACGTCCTTGAGATCCCAGTTTATAGTGGAGACGATCGTGGTATTAAATGGAACAGGATTTATGTAAAACTTACGTGACAGCAAAGAATGTTTCCAAACCAGGTGTTGGGGTCTCATCCACTTGCTCTGGTAGTAAGTCTGGAAGTATGTTCGTAATGTACTTCGTTTTTCTGTAGTAATGACTTTGCTTTGTAAGCGCTATCTTTTTGTTTATTTCTGAGAGAGAGAGAGAGAGAGAGAGAGCATGAGCAGGGGAGGGGCAGAGAGAGACAGAATCCCCAGTTGGCGCGTCACTGTCCGCGCAGATCCCAGTGCGGGGCTCCCACTCAGGAGTTACAAGATCGTGACCTGAGCCGAAATCAAGAGTTGGACGCTTATCCAACTGAGCCACCCAGGCGCCCCTGTGACCACTATCTTTTTAACTGCCGTGACGTTGTATCATAAATGGGCCTATTTTTAAGAAATCTTAAACCGGCGGGTTAGTTTGGTCAGCAGAGAATACCTCTCCGTGGAGGGGGTGGATCATAGTTTCCTTTAAAGGTCATTATCCTAAAGTCATCATTAATGATTGATGTGTGTGTGGAACACGGTCTCAAAGATTAATCTTCCTGTTAGCCAGAGCCATTGAACATTTGCCTCAGGATCCGTACTTCAGGCACAGTGGGCCTTTGACATGGAATCTGGGTTATTTTGGAGTCGGTAAATAACCTTAATTGTAGGTACTTACTCTATTTAAGTGTGAAGGACTTTATTCAGGAATTAATCTGGGAATTAAGGCATTTGTATTTTATGAAGGATGTGGTTCGGAAATTACAACAAGCATCTTGAATACTTCGCCGCCCATCTTTAATGAATAGTTTCCCGCTTTATTTGCATGCAATTTCCAAGTGTTAATCTCTTCCTTGTCATTACAAGTATTTTCGGAGTGTGGAGTATGGCTTCCAGCATCTGGTCTGACAGCTCTGGTTGTGGGTGGGGAGTGCCAAGCGCCATGCGGTAGAAGTAACTTAGCGGCAGCGCGGGCAGGAGCAGGAAACCCAGGAGACCGGCGGCACGGTCTGATCCTGGTAGTAACCCCTCCTGGAGGCAGGAGCACTCGCTCTGTTCCGCTCTGTTCCCGTGGGTGAGAGCCTCCCTGTTGGGGCCGGACCACACCCACGTGGTGAGGAGAGGTCTAGGGTGCGGGAGCAGGTGAGAGCAGGCGGCCTTCCCCGTGTCTTCGAAAAGGCTGCTTCCCGAGCCATAAAAACTAGTCCTAGCTAAGAAGGAAAGAGGGGTGATCCCTAGACTCCCGACAAAGTTGGTGAACGGGTCCCCCCTCCCTAGAAAGATGCCTGTGTGCGTAATCCGTATACCACTTCTGAGGGTCCACAGCCCCTGATAATATGGAAGCACGGTGACTTGGTGTGAAAAAAGATTGCCTCGGGTCAGTTCTGCGGCCGCTGGCATGGCCTGCCTTGGCCTGTGAGTCGAGTCTTCTCCCCGTAGAATGCTGCAGAATCCAGAAGCACACCACGTGTCGTGCAAACGGGGGCCGGGCTCTCCAGCCGCAGTGTTTCTTCTTTCCCATCGTCAACGGAAAAACTGGGGTTAGTTCTGTGTTTTAAGTCATGGGGCCAGTGGAAAAGAGGAAAAATTTATAACGTGAATGTGTGTGTTTTTTCATAGCCACCAACAGCCAAAATGCATGCTATCATCGAGCGCACAGCCAATTTTGTGTGCAAACAGGGAGCACAATTTGAGATAATGCTGAAAGCCAAGCAGGCCCGGAACTCTCAGTTTGACTTTCTACGCTTTGATCACTACCTCAACCCCTACTACAAATTCATCCAGAAAGCCATGAAAGAGGGGCGCTACACAGTGCTGGCAGAAAACAGAAACGAGGAGAAAAAGAGTATGTGAGACTCCGTCGTGCGTGGACGCGGGGCCTGTGCGGGGCGGCCTCTGGGAGGGGAAAACGGCCCTTGTGCGGAGGGGTGGCTGCGGCCTGCACCTCAGCTGCCCAGAGTGTTTGTGCAGCACCCCTCCCCCCCCCCCCCCCCAGCACGGCATGGTCGTTACACCTGCTCGTGCCCCCGGAGGGTGGTGCCCAGCTCTTCTTGACTGAGTCTTGAGAGCGTATTAGATTCTTACCGTTCCCGCAGAGAAGTGAACTATAATTAAACATCGATGCTATCAGAACATCATCACCTGGGTTGGAAACGTTCTTTCTCATTTTGCCTGCTCAACATTTCCTGGAGAAAACAGTCCCCTGCTTCTAGAGCGCGTTCTAGCGGTCCACGTGCGCGTGGGGCCTAGGGGCTGAGGTTAGGTTACGCGCACAAAGATGAAAGGTTACTTCGTTACCGTTTTTTTACTCATCTCTACCTCAAGCTGTTGTTTTCATTAACTACCTAAATTTGGGATTCTTACTACAAAGGCCAGTTAACTGTTGCGAATAATATGCGGGACAACGGTGTGTGTGTTAGCCGTTGAATTTTTTTCTCTTCGGCTGGAACATGATTTTCAAAAACAGTTGCATGAATCTTGCTTACGGCTGTCATTTTCTCCGCGTTTGTTAGTTTTTTTAAGTATTTGTTGCTGTCGTTTTCCCTTTCATCAAGATTCTAGCCTTTTTTCTAGAAAATTAAAATACTTGGGCTCCAGACTCCAGTAAACGCTGGAGGGATGTTGCCAGCGGGGCCGAGGCCTGCTCCTTTTTTTCTGCCCGGCGTCCTGCTCCAGGGGCACTTATCACAGGTGTTTGGGGGCAGCTAACCAAGAAACGATTACGTGTAGCCCTGCCTTTGTCTGCTTTTGAGGGTTGTTTTGTTTTGTGTAATATTTATTTTCGGGGGGGTGCAGAGAGACGGGGAGAGAGAGAGACTCCCAGGCAGGCTCCACGCTCCGTGCAGAGCCTGATGCGAGGCTCGAACTCACAGACCGTGAGATCATGACTTGAGTCGAGATCCAGAGTTGGACGCCTTACCGACCGAGCCACCCAGGCGCCCCTGCTTCTTAGTTTTCACGTCGCTTATTTGTACCTTGTCTCACCGTACAGCAGGATCTTGAAATCTGCTTTTGCTCTGCAGAGTCGGGGGTCAGCTCTGACAACGACGATGACGATGATGAGGAAGACGGGAGTTACTTGCACCCGTCTCTCTTTGCTTCCAAGAAGTGTAACCGCCTGGAGGAGCTGATGAAGGTGTCCATCTTCTGTTTTTTTTATGCCGTAACAAAACTTCCGCTCACTTAGTTTTGGGAGCTCGTCAAGCTCGCGTTTCTTTTGTGTCTCACTTCATCCTCATCGAGGGTTAGTTTGCATTTTCGTGTTTTGCTCGGTGCTCCCACTTGTGCCGCTAGCGGTTTCGTTCTGCCCGTCCACCCGCCCTCCTTGCCCGAGTGGTCTTGGGGAGGATCGGAGCGTCTTTCCTTGAGCCATCCCCCTGGGACTCGCGGCCAGCTACACGGAGAGCTCGGCCCCAGCCTGCCCCTGGTGTGCGCGGGCCGGGGCGTCCTGAAGCCCAGACGCTGTGTTCCGATATGCCGTGTTCTGCGGCTGCTTGAGCCCGCTCGGCCTCGGAAGAAGTTCTGTGTGACTCAAAACACAGGAAATGGTGTGATGTGCATCCTCTCTGTCTGCAGCCCTTGAAGGTGGTGGACCCGGATCACCCCCTTGCCGCGCTGGTCCGTAAAGCCCAGGCCGACGGTCCCGCCCCCGCGCCCCCCACGGCAGACGGCGCCGCGCAGCCCTCCCAGGTGGAGTACGCCGCTGACTGTGAGTACCTCGCTGGGCGCCTCCGGCCTGCAGCCTGCTGCAGAGCTCACCCCGCAGGCGCGAGACGGGGGCGCGGGGCCCCGGGCCTGCACGCTCGGCCCTCTTTAGCCCGCAGCCTCATCCCTTTGCCTGTCACCTAATGTTGACAGATGGCCGCTCCGCATCCAGCATCAGCTCTGTATCCGGGAGGGTGAAGGACACGGGCAGGGGCGGAAAGCAGGTGCCTGGTGACTTTGTCCTTCTTCAGAGACCTCCCCGGAAGCCGCGCCTGGCATCTCCCTTCAGCCCTCACAGACGGGGTGGTCTCGCCCGGTCGCCCCGGCCCACGGCGGGGGCTGGAGTCTGACCTGTCGCAGCCCCGACCAAAGTCAGAGTTCCGTTAGGAAGCACAGGGCAGTGCATGTTGGGGCCTTGCGGTTCTGTCTGCCGCGGTGGCTTTCCCAGAACAGACACAGCTCGAGACTGTCTGCCGTGCCCCTTAGAGATAGTTAGTTGCAGCTCCTGCCTCTCCTGGCTGTGTGCTAGCTCTTTGTCTGTTTAATTACCTACAGGTTATTAATGGAGGGCAAATCTTGAGTTTCTATTCAAGGAATTATTTGAAAGTATTTGACCTCAGTCTCATTAACAGATCTTTCTAAGATTTCTGTACCCAGCAGTTAAACCCTGAACGAGAGAAGAGCCCTCAGCTGCAGGGATCTGTCTGCTCATTCTTTACCTGCAGGTCTGACGTGAGGGGCCGTCCGCAAAGCCTGCCCCGTCAAGAGTCTGGAAAATCAGCAGGAGATTAATTCTCTTTCTTTCTTTTTTTTTTTTCCAAAGGAGTGCTTTTTTTTTTTTTAATTTTTTTTTTTTTAACGTTTATTTATTTTTGAGACAGAGAGACAGAGCATGAACGGGGGAGGGTCAGAGAGAGAGAGAGACACAGAATCTGAAACAGGCTCCAGGCTCCGAGCGGTCAGCACAGAGCCCGACGCGGGGCTCAAACTCACGGACCGCGAGATCATGACCTGAGCCGAAGTTGGATGCTCAACCGACTGAGCCACCCACGCGCCCCGATTAATTCTCTTTTAAGACGCCGGCTGCTCGCTGTTTAAGCTTCTGTCGGCCAGCAGCCGTGCCCTCCCACACCTCTCTTCTGGTGCGACACGCGGCAGTGTGTGTGGCTGGTGCTCCAGTAACGGCGGTGATTCGAGTGAACTTAGTGCGTGTGTCCTGGAAAAACCTTTTACGGGACTTGGGATGTGCGGCGCTCACGACAGGGAGTGCTGTGTGCACACACGGCCACACGGGTGAATCGGGAGTCAGGAGTGACCCCCGCTCGTTCGCCGAACAGGACGCTTCTCGGCGTCCTTGTGTTCCTTCTTCAGCCCCGTCGTTGAATCCCTGTCCGTGTGTGTCCCCTGGACCCTGAAGCTATTAAACGGTCTTGCACGGGAAAGGGGTAGAGGCTGGGGGCCGGGGTGACCGTCACCTGACCACTGGCTCTGCACATCGCGGTTGTGAGCAAGGGTGTGTACCGAGGGTGGCGGTGGCGCGGGGTGTCTGCAGACCCCCGGACTGGGCAGGAGGGCCGAGTGGCCGCTCTAGGACTTGTGCTCACTGCGGGGGTCCCAGAGCCCCGTTTCCATCAGGCAGGTGTAACTGCGCTGGCTCCCCGCTTGGACCCGTGACCCCCTCTCCCCAGGAGGTGCTGCAGCAGGGGGCACCGGTTAGGACCCCTCCTCGGTAAAGTTGTCGCCTTCACATCTCTGGTGCCTCGCAGTGCAAGAGTGACCGGCAAGTGTGAGACGGTGCATTTGGGGCTCGTGCCTGGCCTTATGTTTGCGTGGGGGGCCGGCCTCACAGCTAAACTGTCTAAGCCAGCAGAGACGAAAGAGTCCGTCCCGACAGGGCCCCTAGCTGCTTACACGTGGATTGCGGCTGTGCCAGAGGCAGAGGCCGAGTTCCAGATTTTGCAGAGAAGCGAGAAATCCAGAATGTTTATGGGAAATATCTCGATTTACAAATGTCAGCGATGAACTCATATTTTGTGAAAATAGAAGGCAGTCTAAGAAAAAACACAGCAAAGTGGGTGCTGCTTGTAGGCATCCCCCTGCGTCCAGCCTCAGCCGTAGATGTGGAAGGGGCGTGGGCGTGGGGGTAGTGGGGTGTCCTCTGTGGAGACTGCCCTCGGCAGTGGTCGGCGCTTCCTGGAGGCTCGGAAAGGGGGCTGGGAGGCGTCCCGACTTCCTGTAGACCCCTCGTTACCGGAAGTGAGGGCAGGCTCGCTCTCGTGGAGGACTAGGTGAGGTCAGGTGGGAGGGAGAGGCAGGCCGGACATGGAAATGTGCTCCTGAGAGAGGACCCCCGAAGTTTGGCTGTGCAGGGG